GATATGTGGTGGTAATATCATGTGGGTGGTATAAACCCCTATTTTTTTTACGCTTATGAACATGCATTGTTCAACCCAACGAAAGCTTATGCTCCCAGTACTTCTGTTAGTCTCAAAGGTGCCACAGGACCCTCTGTTGCTTTTTACAGATTCAGACTAACACGGCTACCCCTCTGATATATTTTAAAGCTCTCTTTGTATTATGTGCAGAACACACACAAAAAGAAAAAGAAATTTGCCCTTAAATCCCTCATATCTCCACCTTTTAAACTTGATACAGTACAATTTTAAATATATATATATATATATCAATATCAGCACAGTACAGGAGAGGAAGGGACATAACTACTTTCTAGGTTTTTCCTTCTCTTGCCTCTAAGCTTTAGCAACTTCTCTCAAAGCAGCTAATCCTGTATCTATAAACTGTAATGTCATAGGATTAATGTGTGGCTGAGAACATGGGTCAAATCTGCTTTAGATCACAAGAGTTTGAGTTCAGCGCCTAGCCGAAATATCACAAAACTACCACATAATTTAGTACAAGTTGCATTCCTATACGCCAGCTGTTGGTTGCCTTTAATAAAAAGAGGCCCAGGATTGATTTTCACTGAGAGTATATTTTTCTTTGTCTGAAATCAAGGTAGTCTCAGCTGGAAGACTGTAGGGAGTTCTTAAAATGTTTGTGCCTTTGACATAAATAACCCTTTAAAGTCCTGTCTTAAATATAGTATAGAAAATATATTGTGACCTATTATTGGCATTTTCCCTATTTCTTTTGTTACCTTATAAGGCCCTGATCCTGCAAGTTACTCTGCATGGCTGGGCCATCAATCCATAACTGAAGTCAGTGGGGCTCCACATAGGCTAGCAGAGCAGTTTGCAGGATCTAGGTCTAATAGACTGGGAAGATCATTAATTTAAAAACAAAATCCCAGCCTAAATCGTACGATATGTGGAATAATTAAAAGAATCCTTGGAAATCTGGACAGTCTGATAACTGGGCAGAGGTAACTGCTTGCCTCTTATGCAGAGTACGTTGTGAAACACAACAAGTCTCCCATAATTACCTAGCACTCCAACGTCCATAATATCTTTGGCTTAGTCTGCCTCCTTCATACTACTACCAGCTATTGCGTTTGTGTATCTTTACAGGTGTTTCCTAAACGAAAGCTCGTGTGATAGTCCAAGGTACTTGAAAAGGGAGTAACATCCGACAGTAGATTCCTATAATATATTCTCTAAGAATATTTATACAATCTCTTCAATAAAATAGAAATTAAAAATAGGCATCAGTTAAATGTTTCCTCTTAATGGTTGGTTCATATTATTTTTCTTTTTAGTCTGAGATCAGAGTGTTTTCAGTCCTTATGAGCTAAAATCACCATGCAGCTTAAAGATACATATGTTATAGTACAATATTGTGAGCTGTATTATGCAACATTAGACTAGCACCAGTAAATGTGTTATGTCCTAGCACAGTGGAGTCCCAGTCCATGACCATGGCTCTTAGGTGCTCTTTATTGGTAATACTAATAAATAACGATAATAACCTTGTTTTAACTGTAGTTATAGCCCCACTTTACTATGGTTTGATCAACCTTTCTGTAGTTGCACTACCCACTGAAAAGACCATGATGTGATAGCTATGATTTTGAAAAAATCAGTTTTCTCCTGCAGGAAACAATTAATCAGATAAAATCATTAGAATAAAAAACCTGCATAGACACAAAAAAATGACTTTTCCTGTGTACTGCCCTCTTGTGGTATCACCGTCATCTCTACGTAACAATTGATTATGTTCAAAGCATTGGGCACTTGCTTCTAAATTGTACTTCGAGCCCAGTCTGGCACCATGCTGAGCACCTCCAACTCCCACTAAAGTCAATGGGAGTTGAGGCTTCCCAGTATCTTGCAGAATCAGGCCCTTATTTGCTCCCTCCAAAAAAACTGGCATTCCATGTAGCCCATAAATATCTTTGCAAGTTAATAGTGCATCTGACAAACTTCATTTCACTTAAAAAGGAGCCTCATTAAAAAAAAATCTGTCTTCCAGAATTTGATACGGTGCTAGAGGACTTTCCTGACAGTCTCTTTCTCATGGCTGTACAGGTTCTCCGCTCTGTGCTGCTGTTTCCAACAATAGAACGCATGGCTCAGTCCCCGCAAGGCAAGCTCCTGACACCTGTGCTGTGCAAGCTTCGGTACATTCTGTACATGCCAGTCTACCTGCTGTCATTTCTCCCGGAAAGAGTCAAAACTTCCATGGTGCAATTTGTGCTGCGAGGATTGAAATATCCTGATGAAGCTTCAATAGTTACCTCCCTAAATCTCTTCAGTGTGGATTGTGTTGGTGAGCAGAATATATTTTTTTTACTATATCTACTTTTTATCCTACCGCTTCAACAAACGAGTGACCTAGCATGCTGTATAGGGCATGAGTCTTTAAAAATGAACTTGAGGTTAAAACAGGAACAAATCTCTGAACAAATTTTAAAGAGAGGCAGGATTTGTATGTGTCCTGAAGTCCTTTTCTCTTCTCAAGTTAAGAATTCTGGAAAGGATACAGCGAAATTTGAACCTGGTCGTAAAATAGTGCTCTGAATATTTCCATAAAATGATCCACAATATTAGAGCTTATGCTCTAATAAATTTGTTAGTCTCTAAGGTGCCACCAGTACTCCTGTTCTTCTTTTTCCACAATATTTGGAGTTTTAAGAACCTTATCAGAACCAGGGAGTGAATCAAGTGGTTGGATGTCTTGAAAATTTCTTTTCTTAAACAGAGACTGTTAGGTTAAAAATTATATTTTCCCAAAAATCTATTGAAAAAGAAAATCTTTACCTGTACTATTAGCACCTTAAATTATTAAAAAGAATGCATTTTAAAGTATAATTTACTTTACACCTTTGGAGTTTTTGTTGACCTTTTTCACTTCACGCAGGTTGGACAATGAAAATTTGGACATTTGACACTGTTATAGTCAATTTTTTTCTTTCTGGCTGTAATTAACATTACAAAGTCCTTAGCGTGATGCTATTAAATGCAGAAAAGAAAATCCTGCTGACGTTTACACACATGAGTAACTTTACACCCATGAGGAATTTCATTAATGCTTTACACGTATGAATTTTAAAATTCTCCAAAGAAAGGCAGAAAATCAAAATTCTTCATATGTTGTGGCATACTGTAAAATAAAATAAAATGCATATATAAACTTTGTACATCTTTCATGGACAAAAGCAGCTTTCAGGTAGGGAATTATTCACCCAAATTCTGCTGAGCATTCCAAAATGAAAATCAAAGCATATTGTGGTGTTTTACACATTATTTTAATAAATTAACACTTGAAAACACTTTGATATAGAAACTGACATGCGGTGATTCATAGATTCATAGACTCAAGGACTGGAAGGGACCTCGAGAGGTCATTGAGTCCAGTCCCCTGCCCTCATGGCAGGACCAAATATTATCTAGACCATCCCTGATAGACATTTATCTAACCTATTCTTAAATATCTCCAGAAATGGAGAATCCACAACCTCTCTAGGCAGTCTATTCCAGTGTTTAACCACCCTGACAGTTAGGAACTTTTTCCTAATGTCCAACATAAACCTCCCTTGCTGCAGTTTAAGCCCATTGCTTCTTGTTCTATCCTTAGAGGCTAAGATGAACAACTTTTCTCCCACCTCCTTATGACACCCTTTTAGATATCTGAAAACTGCTATCATGTCCCCTCTCAGTCTTCTCTTTTCCAAACTAAACAAACCCAATTCTTTCAGCCTTCCTTCATAGGTCATGTTCTCTAGACCTTTAATCATTCTTGTTGCTCTTCTCTGGACCCTCTCCAATTTCGCCACATATTTCTTGAAATGCGGTGCCCAGAATTGGACACAATACTCCAGTTGAGGCCTAACCAGAGCAGAGTAGAGCGGAAGAATGACTTCTTGTATCTTGCTCACAACACACCTGTTAATACATCCCAGAATCACGTTTGCTTTTTTTGCAACAGCATCATACTGTTGACTCATATTTAGCTTGTGGTCCACTATAACCCCTAGATCCCTTTTTGCCACACTCCTTCCTAAACAGTCTCTTCCCATTCTGTATGTGTGAAACTGATTGTTCCTTCCTAAGTGGAGCACTTTGCATTTGTCTTTATTAAACTTCATCCTGTTTAACTCAGACCATTTCTCCAATTTGTCCAGATTATTTTGAATGTTGACCCTATCCTCCAAAGCAGTTGCAGTCCCTCCCAGTTTGGTATCATCTGCAAACTTAATAAACGTACTTTCTATGCCAATATCTAAGTCGTTGATAAAGATATTGAACAGAGCCGGTCCCAAAACAGACCTCTGCGGAACCCCGCTTGTTATACCTTTCCAGCAGGATTGGAAACCATTAATAACAACTCTCTGAGTACGGTTATCCAGCCAGTTATGCACCCACCTTATAGTAGCCCCATCTAAGTTGTATTTGCCTAGTTTATCGATAAGAATATCATACGAGACCATATCAAATGCCTTACTAAAGTCTAGGTATGCCATATACACTGCTTCTTCCTTATCCACAACACTCATTATCCTATCAAAGAAAGCTATCAGATTAGTTTGACATGATTTGTTCTTTACAAATCCATGCTGGCTATTCCCTATCAGTTTACCACCTTCCAAGTGTTTGCAGATGATTTCCTTAATTACTTGTTCCATTATCTTCCCTGGCACGGAAGTTAAACTAAGTGGTCTGTAGTCTTCTGGAGTCTCTCCTGTCTCCCATGATTTTCCAAAGATAATAGCTAGAGGCTCAGATATCTCCTCTGTTAGCTCCTTGACTATTCTAGGATGCATTTCATCAGGCCCTGGTGACTTGCAGGCATCTCACTTTTCTAAATGATTTTGAACTTGTTCTTTTTTTATTTTATCTGCTAAACCTACCCCCTTCCCATTAGCATTCACTATGTTTGGCATTCCTTCAGACTTCTCGGTGAAGACCGAAACAAAGAAGTCATTAAGCATCTCTGCCATTTCCAAGTTTCCTGTTACTGTTTCTCCCTCCTCACTGAGCAGTGGGCCTACCCTGTCTTTGGTCTTCGTCTTGCTTCAAATGTATTGATAAAACGTCTTCTTGTTTCCCTTTATTCCCATAGCTAGTTTGAGCTCATTTGGTGCCTTTGCCTTTCTAATCTTGCCCCTGCATTCCTGTGCTGTTTGCCTATATTCATCCTTTGTAATTTGTCCTAGTTTCCATTTTTTATATGACTCCTTTTCATTTTTTAGATCATGCAAGATCTTGTGGTTAAGCCAAGGTGGTCTTTTGCCACATTTTCTATATTTCCTACCCAGTGGAATAGCTTGCTTTTGGGCCCTTAATAGTGTCCCTTTGAAAAACTGCCAACTCTCCTCAGTTGTTTTTCCCCTCAGTCCTGATTCCTGTGGGACCTTACCTATCAGCTCTCTGAGCTTACCAAAATCCGCCTTCCTGAAATCCATTGTCTCTATTTTGCTGTACTCCCTTCTACCTTCCTTAGAATTGTGAACTCTATGATTTCATGATCACTTTCACCCAAGCTACCTTCTACTTTCAAATTCTCAATGAGTTCCTTCCTATTTGTTAAAATCAAATCTAGAACAGCTTCTCCCCAGTAGCATTCTCAACCTTCTGAAATAAAAAGTTGTCTGCAATGCAGTCCAAGAACTTATTGGCTAGTCTATGCCCTGCTGTGTTATTTTCCCAACATATATCTGGATAGTTGAAGTCCCCCATCACCACCAGATCTTGGGCTTTGGATGATTTTGTTAGTTGTTTAAAAAAAGCCTCATCCACCTCTTCCACCTGGTTAGGTAGCCTGTAGTAGACTCCTAGCATGACATCATCCTTGCTTTTTACCCCTTTTAGCCTAACCCAGAGACTCTCAACACTTCCGTCTCAAAAGAAGTAAATTTTGATTTTGTTATAGTAATCTTTTAGAGACATTCTTACCTGACACCTAGACTTTCCAGTGAGTCCTGCTTTCTAAGAGATTGTTTAGACCCCAGTGCTGCAACGAGCTCTGCCAGGGTAGACCGAGTCACACTGACTTCAGTGCAACTCTGCGCAGGTGGAAGAGTCTGCACTCGATCCTCATTCGCAGGATCAAGGCCTTAGATCGTAAAGTGTCTGGACAGGGAGTGTCTTTGTTGTCTGTTCTGGACAGTGCACAAATTCTAATATATAGTTCCAAGTAAGCAGTTAAGTAAATCAAGTTATAGGGGTATGGGAGTACTTGGAACCTCACAGAATTAGGCTCAAAGTTACTAAACATTGTTCTCTAAGTAAGGGGCATGTCATCTTTTACAGGATATATCATCAACTTCGGAAGTAAATATAAGATCACAGTATTTTTTGAGTTCCTTTCCTCAGTACCTCAGCCGTGGCAAGAACTCAATTCTAGGATGCGAACATCTCTATCTTATAGTAGTTTTCATCATGCTAAGTGCACTAGTTGCTTTAATTTCTCTAACATCTTCCCAGGCAAAGAGACGATTCAGATATAAGCAGCCAAGGATGTCCACCTTATACCTTTAAGACATGCTCCTCAGCTGCTGTAAAATTGGTGTCGCTCCATTCACTTTATTGAGTTAAATCAGGTGCGGGTCTGAAGCCCTGAAGCCAGTCTTGCAAACCCTTATGTAAGTGGGTCTTACTCATGTGACGTTCATTGGGCCGCATCATGCCATCCGTTTTTAAGCAGAATTCCCCATTGATTTCAGCAAAGAGTACTGTTTGGAAACTGATGGCACTATAAAAGCAGCAAAGAGTCCTGTGGCACCTTATAGACTAACAGACATATTGGAGCATGAGCTTTCGTGGGTGAATACCCACTTCGTCGGATGCATGTGATGGCACTATGTGGCCCATTGACCTTAAAGGAACTACACGCATAGGTTACCGCTACCCGAGCAAGTTCGGTTTTACAGGATCAAACCCATAGGTCTTTTTTGTAGATTCACAAACAGGGAAGAAAGAAGGATCATAGCATGGTCATCAGTTCAGCAAAAATATATTTAGTTCAGCAATCTGGCCTATTTAAATCCTGTTGTATGTAACTACTCATCTGTAAACTAGTGTAGCATATTAAACTGTCATAAATGTTGTTCTGATAGATTCCCCTGTCCTTTTAATAGCTATTAAATATGATTCAAAAATGTTCTGAAAATGAATTTGTTTCTCCTCTCCAGGAAGTTTGTGTCGACTCATTAAAAATACACATATTACCTTTGGCATGTACATCTGTTGAATTACTGCAATTGCAATAAAAGCTATGATTAAGGGCAAGAAAAAATGGTAAAAGTTTCCTTAAAAGTAAATGTGTCC